CACAAATTATGCATTAGGTTCTCAACGTATTTGATGGGGACCTGAAATATTTCATTCATTGAATTATTATTAATTCAATAATAAATAAGTGAATTGACTACTATGGAGCTAGGCTCTGTAGCAGTCTCTGGAAACTTTTTTTTTTTTTTTCAGTGCTGAGGACCGAAGTTAGCACTCTCCTACTGAGCTTAAATCCCCAACCCCTGGAAACATAATTCTAAAAGAGACATATGTATGATAGAAAGTCTTTTCCCCCCCATTGAGACAGGGTCTCACTAAGTAGCCCAGGCTACCCTTGAACTCTTAATTCTCCTGTCTCAGCCTTCTGAGTACTGGGATTACAGGTGTACACCTGATCTTTAGGAAAGGAAGAATATTAAAATGACTAGACATTCTACTTTAGCACCTTAGTCATAGGGCATATAACCATGGTCAATTTACTCATCTTCTCTAAGCCTAGCTTTCTTAAGAACTATGAGAATAACAACAGGACTTACTTCTTAAGGTTGTTAGGGGAATTAACTGAGATCAGGAACATAAGGTGGTTAGCACAGTATAAGGAACACCATGAATGTTTAATAACGAGTGACTATGATGACTTTTCAGCATGTCCTAGCACACAGAAAGAGTTTGATAAGTGACTTGTTTTTTTGGTTTTGGTTTTTGTTTTGGTGGAACTAGGGTTTGAACTCAGAGCTTCACAATTGTAAAGCAGTTGCTCTCACTCAACTTTGCTCTGGTTATTTGGAAAAGGGGTCTCACAAACTATGCTGGCTGGCCTAAACTGTGATCCTCCCAATCCCAGCCTCCAAATAGCTAGGATTACAGGAATGAGCCACCAGCACCCAGCTAATGACTGTTTTTTTAAAAAGGTGAGTGTGTGGGGGGGAGATTTTAGATCAATCTGGATAGATACAATTTTGTTAAAATGAAACAAATGTGTTTGTTCTATATATACTTAAACCATTGATTAGGCCAAGAAAATGAAAAAAGATATATAACAAGTTATTGACCGTGAAATAAGATTTAGTTAGCAGGGAGATATTTGTTTTGTTTTGTGTTCTATTTTATATTGACCTAATTTAAGAACCAAAATCTTAGAAAATAAAGGTATTATCATATTCTAAATATAGTGGTAAATAATAAAGCTTGTAGCTTGTTAGAATTCTTCTTCCTGCCCAAAATATTTCATTGAATTTTCATTCTTTCAGTTTTAACTCTGCCATAATTTTGCTTCTAATCTTCAAAAAACCAACTCCTTACCATGTATATCAGGCTTCATCATTCATAAAAGAGACACACAATCCAGTACTTCCCAACTAGCAGAACCTGGTATGCTGGTGTGTGTGTGTTGTTTTTTTTGTTTGTTTTTGATGGTTACTCTGGTTTGATCTCAGAGTTTTGCTGGCTCTATTGCCTCTAGTCAGAAATGCAGGTGTTATGAATGACAGTAAGAAATTGAGCCTTCCTGTAATGGGGCAGTTAAGAGATGTCAGAGGCAGCCAGAGCTAGATGGGCCAGTACTTAAAACAAGAGCAGCCTTATTTATGCTTCCTCAGGGCATCCTGTGCAGAGTGGTACAGGGTGTAGACCAAGCAGCAGAGACAGAGACTAGAGCCAGTGTATGAATTTTTAATCCAGGTGCCCAAGGAGTGTAGCACACAGTCTTGTCAGGGAGTGAGAAGAGAGCTTAGAGAGTGATGTTTCTGGCGGGCTCAGTTCTACACAATTCCTTTACTATTTGTCTAACATACAGTAGCCATACAGTAGCTGTTTCTATTCCTTGTGCTTTTTTTTTTTGGTAGTACTGGGAAGCAAAACCAGGCACATGGTGCAAGTGCAAGGTAGGCGGGTGCTCTACTACAGATCTACACCCCCAATGCCAGTGCCTTTTAGTGGCACCTAGGCTAGCTGTCGCCCGTGCATGAATGTTCTGAAAGCTGCAGCTTCAACATAGAAATCTTGATATGAAAATATGCTATTGGGCTTCACATCCATTTGCATTATCACATGAAACATTACATTTGTCAATAAAAGAAAGGCTGTTAGAGTTTTTAAATATAATTGTAAATTCTGAATGGTTGTATAAAACAGTTTTAAATATTTTACTACCCACTTATGTGATCAGAGTTCCTCGATAATGAGTACCCAGAATATGAAGCGTTCATCATTAAAAAGTCTGTATCAGAAACTGCATAAAGCCATTTCAACCATAAAACTTAACATCAAAATATGTTCAGAAGAACAAGTTTAAATCGATCATTAAAAACATGAACATTTTTATTTGAAGGTTTTATGCAAGTTCCATGTTTAATATCTTTTCCAATACTTTGCATTTTATTTTTATCAAAATTATACACTTTAAAGAAAATGTTATGAATTTTTAAAAACCATCATTTAGATGACTCCAAATCTGCTGTTTACCCTAGTATGCCATACAAAAATTACCTTTCTGTGCATCATGATATGAAAGAAGTTGAGAGGCCCTGATATAAAGTCTATTTGCCACCATCCCACCATAGGAATCACTCCCTTCCCCCTATATACTTCCTCTCTTTCCTTCCTTCTTTCTTTTGAAAGGGATGGTACTGGGGTTTGAACAAGAGCCTCACACTTCCTAGGCAGTCACTCTATCACTTGAGCCACAGCTCCCTTTTTTGCCCAGGGATGGCCAGGGAACACAATCCTCCTAGTATGCCTCTCCCATGACTGGGATTATCAGCTTATGCCATTATGCTCAGCCCTTTTCTCTCTCATTTCAAAGAGCCAGGGCTACACAAGGATATACAAGCAGACAAGATTCAAGTCTGTATCCTACAGGGTCAAGAATCAGAGGGATGTTTGTATCCAAGATACCATGGGGCCTCAGAGCTGGAGAGTAAGCTTACACAAAAGCATGGAAACTAGACAGAATATAAAAATACATAATCAGGATGAATAACAAATCTGGATAAATCCAAAGGAAGAAATCCACATTATTCCTATTATCATTATTATTATTTTGGTGGTATTAGCGTTTGAACTCAGGCTTCACGCTTTCGAGGCAAGCACTCTACCACTTGAGCCACTTTGTGACATTCTCAATTATTGAAGGATTAAAAAGACCTGAATAAATGGACTGACATACTATGTTCCCTGATGTAAGGACTTAGTAGCTATGCTACCTCACCATGTTTCTCAAATTAGTGTAAAAATGTAATACAATTCAAAGAAAGAATAACAAAAGTTACTAGGAATGGATTAGAAATAACTTGGTTAGGTCTAGGTGTTTAACCTAGACAAAAATGCCTTACAGGACAGCCAGGTGATCACTCTTACTGATCACCAACAATGCCTCATAGAGTAGTTTAATGTGAAGACCATCTTTTTTTTTTTTTTAATTTATTTTTATTTATTTATTTTTTTATTATTCATATGTGCATACAATGCTTGGGTCATTTCTCCCCCCCTGCCCCCAGAAGACCATCTTACGAAGGCCTTTAACATTGTGTTTTTCTATGAACAGAACTGGTCAGAATATAAGGACTGTTTCATAGTTATCAGACTCACAAAATCTTGGTATTAATCATACACTAAAGCAATACATTTTTCTGATGTCTTGAAACATCACAACATATAGACATTTTTCAAGTCTGTTATGGCTCTCCAAGGATCATGCATAAAAGTGTGCTTGTGATTCTGGAATCAGAACAACAAAAGAAGTTATATTAAGGCCTGGTGACTGGTTTCTGTACCCCAACAGAAACCTGTTTCTATCTTCTTTGAACATCAACAAATTCTACCCTTTTCAACACCCCTTTTTCAAACTCAAGGCTGACCACTCCCCACTTGTTTGCGCAAACTTTCTCTCCAAACAATTTACAATATAACTGATTAGATTGCTAATCTTTCCAAGGGAGGCCAGATGAATTTTTAAAGGAGTTGGTCATATGGATTGCTAAATTAAAATACAAGGCATTTCCTAAATGGGAAGGGGAGGTTTGTTAACTGTGGTCATTTTTTAAATCAGTAACTGTTTAAATAACAATCTACAAATTATTAGCTTATGACTGTCTCATGAGTGCCTAATCCTTTAGCTATGAAAAACAAAACTAAAGCTCAGTAAGGCCAAAAAAATTTTAAAATCCCTTGGGTAGCAGAGAAATGATTATAGCTCTAGTTTCCTCACTCTTAAATCAAAATTGGGAACAGGTGACCACATTTAAACATCACTTGCGTACCTGGCAACAGTGCCTTTTTGGAAATTTTCTAAATTAATTCCCTACATTGTGTCCCCTAGAACAGAGGCTTCGGCTTCTTCCTTGCTAGCTAGAAAAGCGTTACAAAATATCCCCGACGTAATGGAGCTCAGTGAGTGGCTAACGAACTCCATCAGCCCTGCCTCAGGTCGTTAAGAGTAAAAAAGTCAGCGTGTCAGCAGCGTTTTGAGGCCCGTTCAAGGTGCCCATGATTGACGCGTGTCGGTGTCGCAGGGATTTTTCAATACCCGCCCTTTGAGGTGGGCGTCGGCCACGGACACTCGTCCCCGGCATTTGTGAGAGAGAGAGAGAGAGGGGAACCTCAAAGGCTAAGAGGGCTTTCTTGCAATCTTGCGTTACGAGGTAGAAAAGTGTGGTTTTACTTCAGGCACGGGAGTGGAACGAATCTGGAAATGGAGACCGATAGTCCCGCGTGGGGGAGGGGCAAGACGCGCGAGAAGAAAGGGAAAGGCCTTTCTGTTCGGTGACGCGCGGTCACAAGGCGTTCTCCCGACGTGGGCACTCACCATTGGTCGAGCTCTTACTGACGTACCAGCAGCCGCCCGGGCGCCAACCGAGGCAAGGGCGGAGCTGTATTGGAAGTTAGCAAAACGCGCGCGCTCCCGCGGCCCACCGAGCTTCCACCCTCTGCCCGCCAACCCGTTCGTCCAGTCTCCCTTCGCTCCCATCTGGCCCCGCCCCTTTCCTAGCTCGCTCCTCCTCCGCCAGGCCGGCGGCGCGCGGAAAGAGCGTCACGTGACAACTGGCCCCGCCTCTTCCTCTCGGTCCCATATTGAACTCGAGTTGGAAGAGGCGAGTCCGGTCTCAAAATGGAGGTAAAACCGCCGCCCGGTCGCCCCCAGCCCGACTCCGGCCGTCGCCGCCGCCGCCGGGGGGAGGAGGTATTAGGGGGAGAGCGGGGGGTTGATGGGTAGTGGCCGGCATGGGGGACCTGCCTGGATGGGAGCGGGGAGGCCGGGTGGACCGGGACAGCCGTCCCGCGCTCTGCGTTGAGACGGGCGGTGAGAGGGGGAGGGGAGCAGGCCTGGGCGGCCTCCTCGGGGCCCCTTGCCTGCCTCGCCCTCACCGTCGGCCGCACAGGCTGTCTTGGGAGGCGCGGCGTGATCGGGGGCCTTTTCAGGGGGGCAAAAGGCTCGCCGGGTGCGCGGCCTCGGAGGCGAGGCCGAGGGCGGCATGGCGGTCCTCAGCGGGAGCGGTTAGGAGGAGGCGGTGGGGGAGGGGACGGGACGAGCAGGCACATCCGGGCGAGCGAGCGAGCGGGCGGCGGCCACATTGACATTGATCCGCTGCCGCGTTACGAAATGGCGCATTGGCCCGCAATGGCGGCCGCCTCGCTGCGCTGCCGGGAAAGAGCGCGGGGATTGGAGGGAGCAGGCAGGAGGCGGCCGGGCAGAAAATGCCACAAATTCGAGGCTCCGGGCGCGGTACTTTCGCTCAGGTTTTCGGTGACGAGAATTCGTTAAATTCTCTTAGCCTGTTCCTCATAGCCCCACGTGGAAATTTCTGAAAAGTTCACTGCTTTTTAAAGCATATCAATGCTGCCTCATCTGCTATTCATCCCCGAAGTACTTAGAAACTATTCACATCGCCATGTGGGTGAAGTGTTCTTACTCTTAAGAGTTTGAGATTCAGATATTTGTAGACGTTAAGTAGGAGCTTAAAAGTTGTTTTTTTTTTATCTAATTTTACATTGCTTGCATTTGCTCTGGTTGTAGTTATCTAGATTTTTGTTCTAGAGGATTGCAACAACAGTTGAAATTTTTATCTGTGAGAATTTTATGTGGGTTTTAATTTGTCGATTTTTGTGTTACTATGAAATGCATTCATCCAAGTGGGAGTAAGTGAGCTATGATTTAGGCAATTCTTTAACGTTTTTTTCTAGCATGTGAAAATCTCACACTTGATGCTTTAACATCTGTACTTTTAGAGGACACGGAGATACTAGAAACCCATTATTTAAGGACTTTTTTTTTTTTTTTTTTGGCTGTACTGGGACTTGAGCGCAAGACTAACTCTAGGGTGGTTTTCTATAATCTGAACCACTTCCAGCAGTCCTTATTTAAGGATTTTGGGTGAACGAAATCATATTGCATGGTTAAATGACAGTTCATTTAATTTATTTAAAACACTTAAGACATAAAACTTCGACCACATCTTAATTTTTTTCTTCAAAACACCACATTATTTCTGTTTTGTGCTTCATTCTTCTGTTAAGGCAAAATGCACATAATGTAAGTCCAGTTTAGGAATACCCTGACTGTAAAATGTGTGGCATTTAAAATCATTAAACCGTATGATAACAAATGTACGATATAACGAATTGATTACAGAAAGCTATGTAGTAGGCGGTTTTGTTTTTAGGGTTTGTTTTTGTGGAAATACAGGTTTAGCCTAGGAATATGTAGTTTAATATTGATTTGTTTGGAACTGGTGAATTTCTAAGTTGTCTCACTCAAAACTTCTTATATTTTATGGATTATTTTCAAATTAAATGTTTGTTGGAGTATAGACTGAGAAAATTTGAAGTGGCATGGGTGGAACACTGCTTCTCTGACACTTCGGCTTCTTAGAAAATGACTTCTCATTTGTTTAATGACACTTAGCTGTGGCTTAAAAATTTGAGGGATTTTTGATCCTGGAATTGTCTTGAACTTCAGTTTAAAGTGATCCTTAGCACCATTTTAGGTAAATTTTTAACCGGACAGAGGGTTACTGTTGTGGATACTTGTGGATTAAAGAGAATTCATGCAGTGTTTTTTTTTTAAATTAACATACTACAAGAAATAATTAAAATATATTGATTCTTTTTCTCAGGGCCATGATCCAAAGGAACCAGAGCAGCTAAGGAAGCTGTTTATTGGTGGTCTGAGCTTTGAAACTACAGATGATAGTTTAAGAGAACATTTTGAGAAATGGGGCACACTCACAGATTGTGTGGTAAGTTAGAAGGGAATAAAAAGGCTCATGGGAGGGATACAGGAGCTGCGGAGGTGTATTTCAGTGCTTTAAATTTTATTTTGTAGGTAATGAGAGACCCCCAAACAAAACGTTCCAGGGGCTTTGGCTTTGTGACCTACTCTTGTGTTGAAGAGGTGGATGCAGCAATGTGTGCTCGACCACACAAGGTTGATGGGCGTGTAGTGGAACCAAAGAGAGCTGTTTCTAGAGAGGTATTTTAATAACATATTACATGATATGTGAAACGGTGAAAGTTTGTTTTTTGATTTAGCATGTTTTTATTTTATTTGTAGGATTCTGTAAAGCCTGGTGCCCATCTAACAGTGAAAAAAATTTTTGTTGGTGGTATTAAAGAAGATACAGAAGAATATAATTTGAGAGACTACTTTGAAAAGTATGGCAAGATTGAAACCATAGAAGTTATGGAAGATAGGCAGAGTGGAAAAAAGAGAGGATTTGCTTTTGTAACTTTTGATGATCATGATACAGTTGATAAAATTGTTGGTAAGAAACAATTTATTGGAATTTGAGAGAGAATAGTTTCTGTTTTGATCTAAATTTGCTAAGTTGATTATATTTTTGTGTTGTGCTTTATAGCCTGTAAAGTGTACAGCTCACTTTCTCCATCTAGATCAAGAAATAAGCACTTTAACTTCCTAGAACTCTCATCCCTCCTTCCCTTCAGAGTCAACCTCTTGGGGTGGGGCTGATAATAGGTGAACTCAGGGTCTTGCACTCATTACTTGAGCCATGCCCCTAGTCCTCAACTACATTCTTTAAAACATTTTAATGAGCCACATAAAGACAAGGGGCACCATTTTTATATGCTTTTCTGAACATAAAATAATTGTTTTGTTTGTTTGATTAAAAAAATTTTAGTTCAGAAATACCACACTATTAATGGGCATAATTGTGAAGTGAAAAAGGCCCTTTCTAAACAAGAGATGCAGTCTGCTGGATCACAGAGAGGTAAGTAGGATCATTTACACGTACCTAATAGATACAAAAGGTGTTTCTAAGGTTCTTAAAAATCTTACTTGACTGTTAAAGGTCGTGGAGGTGGATCTGGCAACTTTATGGGTCGTGGAGGAAACTTTGGAGGTGGTGGAGGTAATTTGGCCGTGGTGGAAACTTTGGTGGAAGAGGTAAGTTGTACTTACTAGTTTTAAGTATGTGTGTCTTAGGTTCAGTAGTAAAATTGAGTATGTGATTTTGATTCATATCTTGGCTTTCCCTTAGGAGGTTATGGTGGTGGAGGTGGTGGCAGCAGAGGTAGTTATGGAGGAGGTGATGGTGGATATAATGGATTTGGAGGTGATGGTAAGTTTTGTTTTATTTTTGCATTGCTGGGAATCAAACAGGGCCTCACATGATGGGCAAGCAATCTACCACTGATCTACATCCCCACCCCTGATGATAAGTATTTAGGCTGTTTCTATACCATGTTAAAAATTATTTTATGCACTTTTCAGTTTTAGTCAAAATTGAGTGGATTGGTGGTTAAAGTATACTTCTAAGTTAGTACTTTAGAAGAATAACTTCCATAGAGGACTGAACATTAACTTAGTCCTTTTTAGCTATTAAAATTTACTGTAATACCTTCATCTGAGACTGTATTTTCCTTAGTGAAATTAAAAGAAAAAAAACAGTAATTTTTACTTTTAATTTCAAGCATGGCTGTTAAGGACTTAATTTTTACTAGTTCAGATTCTTGCTGCTCTGTTGACTAGGTATTACTATGTTTCAGAGTGTTAAACATTTGATTGGCTTGTCAGTGACTTAAATGTAATACAAAACTAGAATTCAGTATCTTGATCTTTACATTTGTGGTGTTTTTGTGGCCTTGTTTTCAGGTGGCAACTATGGCGGTGGCCCTGGTTATAGTAGTAGAGGAGGCTATGGTGGTGGTGGACCAGGATATGGGAACCAAGGTGGTGGATATGGTGGTGGTGGAGGAGGTTACGATGGTTACAATGAAGGAGGAAATTTTGGTGGCGGTAAGTGTTCCTTACTCAGAAATTTAAGTATCGGTATTTATAGTTCCTATTACAGATGATTGAAAAAATGGTAAAAAGTTTTGAACATTTGGATAAAAATTTTACTTAATAAAAAATACACATGTGGAGATTAAAAGGAATTTTCCTAACTTTGCTGGCTATTTAGTAAATTAGTAAAATATACTCAACTTTTGTGTGGTAAAGGGAATATTTACTAGTGTAAGTAATTTTATGTTTAAAAACCACTAGTGTATTTGATAGAATATTCCTCAGCTCTGACTTTAAAACTGTAGCGATACAATATGCAAATACTTGCACTTACTGAAAGGAGTAAGGGTGCTATCTGAACTCTAGGTTAAATAAAGTACTTTGGGTGGTAACATGTGATATGTAACCGTATGCCTGTCATTATGTCATGAAATTGTAGACATTAGTTATGAAGACACAGTTTTGTTGGATTTTACTGAGTATTACCAAGAACAACCCTTGTTGACAATTTAAAGTATCTTCTCTGTGTTTTTGAAATTGAATTACATTAAAATGGCAAATTGAGCAGTGTCGAATTGATACTGCATTTGGTGCAGGGCATTGATGTTCCTCAAATACGCTGAAATCTGACAGCTGTGTAGAAACATGCCCTTCTGACGATCTTCCACATAGTTTTCCTCTCCTCTATGTCTTAGGTCTACTAGGAAACTTACGGTAGAGGGAGTTTGGGAGTTATGTTAAGATCCCATTCAGTGAGTTGCATATAAGCATTATAGAACATGTTAGCCACCATGATTGTCAAAAAATGAGTTACGTAAGTTTAGGGGGACTATATTCCTTAGGTGAACGACAAAATATTTGTGATTTCAGGTAACTATGGTGGTGGTGGGAACTATAATGATTTTGGAAATTATAGTGGACAACAGCAGTCAAATTATGGACCCATGAAGGGGGGAAGTTTTGGTGGAAGAAGCTCTGGCAGTCCCTATGGTGGTAAGTAATTTTTTACCAAGTTCTTTTGGAGGGAGCTGGTGCTGGGGTTTAAACCCAGGATCCTGTGTTTGCCAGGCACTGAATCACACTCCCAGCCCATCAAAAGTTTTTAGAGCCATTTTAATTTAAAATTTTATGTATATGTGAAAACTCTACATGTATATTTCCAGGTGGTTATGGATCTGGTGGTGGAAGTGGTGGATATGGTAGCAGAAGGTTTTAAAAACAGCAGAAAAAGGGTAGGTATCTTTAAATTTTTATCATGATGATAAACGATATGTGGAACTGTTCACTGAGTGTAATAATTTTTTTATCCTGTATTATTCAACAGGCTACAGTTCTTAGCAGGAGAGAGAGCGAGGAGTTGTCAGGAAAGCTGCAGGTTACTTTGAGACAGTCGTCCCAAATGCATTAGAGGAACTGTAAAAATCTGCCACAGGAGGAACGATGATCCATAGTCAGAAAAGTTACTGCAGCTTAAACAGGAAACCCTTCTTGTTCAGGACTGTCATAGCCACAGTTTGCAAAAAGTGCAGCTATTGATTAATGCAATGTAGTGTCAATTAGATGTACATTCCTGAGGTCTTTTATCTGTTGTAGCTTTGTCTTTTTCTTTTTCTTTTCATTACATCAGGTATATTGCCCTGTAAATTGTGGTAGTGGTACCAGGAATAAAAAATTAAGGAATTTTTAACTTTTCAATATTTGTGTAGTTCAGTTTTTCTACATTTTAGTACAGAAACTTTAACAAAATGCAGTTTTGAAGGTGTTTCCTTGTGAGTTAACAAGTAAAGATCATTGTTAATTACTATTTTGTATGAATTTTGCTAAAGTTAACTGTAAAGAAACACCTACTGACTTGCAGTTTAAGGGGAACCTATTCTCCCCATTTCCAAACCATGATATGAATGGGCGCTGACATGTGGAGAGAATAGATATTTGTATGTTTGCAATGTGTGTTTTAGATACTTAGGATTGGGTATTTAAATTAGCATATTTGTGAATTTAATAGCATTAAGATAACCTTCAAATGAAAAGAATCTCAAAATTTCTATTTGGTTTTTGTGCATTTTCTTTCAAAATGTAATGATTTTAGTATGTTAGACTTGCTGAGTCCTGGGTGTTACATCTCCATTCTACATTTACCTTGGTCACATTTAAACTGCTACCATAGTTTTGGGGTATACAACATGTCTACTGCCTCTGTTTAGATTCTGGAATAGGGTGGTAGATGTTTTCCCTCTCCACCTTAAAAACTACTCTTAATTTTTGATACTTGACCACTATGTTTGTTACTACGTTTGAACAAATTAGTGGTCATCTGATTTTGTTCTCTTTTTCATTTTAAACCCCAGAATTCCATAAGTTGAGTTACTTTCCTTGGTTTACTTATCTTTCCCCTCACCCCGCCAACACATACATGTTTTCAAGCAAGAGAATAGAAAACAGTTCATTGTTCAATTTTTCACTGGCTGGCATGCTTAGCTGTTTGTACCCTACACATTTTGCTGAATAAAACCAAGGATAGTTTAGGTATAGTTGTCCGAAATAACTTAATGCAGCAGAAATGTAGCACAGTTGCTTAGTACAAGATTCTCACTTCCCAAAGACCTGAATTAAAATTTGCAGAGTCCAAGTTCTTAAATTCCCAAAGAACACACTGTTACTCCTTATGTATATTTTTACCTAAATTGTGTTGGTGTGACTTACCAATTTGTTTAGAAGTTGCTGGTAGAAAAGAATTTTAGGTAATAAGGTCATATATATAAAAAATGTCTGTTTGCGCCAGCTAGTGCTTACAATTTCACTCAAGCCCTAAGTATGTGCCCTGCTGTTACTCTTTCTTTAGTAGTTGAACATTGGATTCAAGATTTTTACTTGGTTTATAAAGTACTAAGCAAAACAAGCAATAAAAAGGGGAATGGGGCGTGCTAGTGTTTGAATATGCTCTCTTGTTGCTCTAATTCTGTGCCTCTGTGCATTATTAATATTTGGATGCATGCAATGCCAGCATGGAAATTGGTCTTCACAAATACTGCAGTTTTCCAGAAAACACTCACAAACCAATAAATGTAACAGACAACATTCCATTTGTTAATGGACATATGTGAATAAGCAGTGTAGAAAATAGGCTTATATTAGAAAATGGTTAAGTCCTTAATAACTTCAAGTGTGGTTATATAAATACATGGACACTGTCAATGTTCAAAACTTAAACTTGGGTACCTGGTCAAAATAATGCTTGGGAAACATTCTATTAAAATCAAGCTAAATTGTCTCAAGTTCTTTTATTCATATAATAAAGGTTGAAGGAATGGGGAAGATTAACATTTCCTGTTTTTATGTTTGTGACATTGTTTGACACAACCTTGACAGTATCCTTTAATGGTATATGAGGTTAATTGTTTTGTTAACCAACTTCTTATGTTCTGGAACTAGTAGTTTAATAAGTAAAAATATTTTTCAGTAAGTGGATGTTTACAACCTATAAGCAGGTGAAATTTGTATGTGACCTGTTTATAAGTTGTATTAGTTTAGCTTTTCTGAACAATGTGGAAAAGTAAGCCATGAGGAGAGCGATATAACCAGCTTTAAAGGACAAACTGTGCTTTTTAAGCACAGTGTGGATCAAAGGAAACTCTCACTAAGACAGGACTTCAGCAGCCTTTTTGAGTATGGACAAGTCAGCATAAATAAAGAATGAGAAGGCAGCAGCAAGAGCTTCAACTACAGAGAAGTGAAGGCATAAGATACTATGATGATAGTGAGCAACTTTCCAAAAAGCTAGTTAAATCTGCTTATTACAACTGAAATATCGAAGAAAGTCTAGCAGGAAGGAGTTCTTCGCCTTTTGGAACATCAATGAGAGATAGTTGCCACAGTCACTAGGTCTAGCATTTAGACCTGCAAGGAAGGGCAATAAGCATTAGGTAAGGCTTGAATTTGAATTTTTTCACTAATTAAAGAGTAATTTTTTGTAAAGCAAGGTAAGAGTAATCTTTTTGATTTGCAGGTTGAATGAGAACCCTACTTGCCTAAATGAGGAATGTCTTTCCTACCATCTTAAATACGAAGGTTTCTGGCTGGGTAAGGTTTGTAGCTCACAGTAAAACCTAATGACACCATTTATTTCCCTACAAATCCATACTACATATTTTGAAACGTCACCCCTCTTTAGAAGGCAAATTCTCAAGCTGAAAACTTTTATCTTGGTACCACATTGAACACGTTTTAAAGCATAGGCAAAATTGCCCTGTAATGGCCATGTGCAGCATGAATCAAATACGACTTCTTGTGTGCTACTCACTGTTATTAGGGCAAAGTCTGTTGTCAGTAAAGAAAGAGTAGCCTCCCTTTCTGTGAAGTTTTTGTAATCAGGACTTTTAACATGAGTAAGCTGCCATTCATACTGAGAAGGATAACCATTACACAATTACTAGATGATGATAGATATTAGAATGATCTTAATTTAAGTGACCTCCTAAGTTCTTCTATACATAAATTCAGGGAATTACTTGGCCCAACAGGATAAATTTGTTAAATGTTAACCCTAAATAGGGGGTTCTAATTACACTAAAGCCCCTCTTAAAAAAGACATTTTTCCCAAGAATTAATGTCAGTTGGAAAAGGGATTTTTTTTTTTTTTTTTTGCTGCCCTTAAAGGGCTAGTAAAGTCAGTTTCTTACATGAACAGGAGTGGTTTGCCAGTTTCTTTTCAGAAAAAGGTTGGTTCTGTCTAAATAAGTAATGAATTCCCACATAGCTTAGAATTGTTAAATAAGGTATTAGCCTTTTCACATGGTTTTGGTGAAGCACATTTCCTAAGACAGGAAACACTTTAAAGGCATTCATTTTATCTATGAAATAAAGTGGTTTTATTTAAATGCAGTTTCATTGTCATTTCTGAAAAACAACCGTCTTCAGTTGTAGCACTGGTAAACAAGGAAATTCTAAGTAGGAAATGGTTGGGGCAAACTTTTTAACTGATTTTGTTAAAGTTTGTAGGTTACTGCTTCTAATGTTAACATTAAAGTGAATTTACACTCATGTTCTAAAGGGAGAGAAAATTTGTATGGTAAGATGAAGCCCATTTGTTTGGGAACCAAGTAGAAACACAGGCTTGGTTTTAAGCTTTCCAGAGTAAGCTACAATATGAAATACTCCTCTAAAGACTATCTCCGAGTAACGTCACAAAGTAGTGAATAAGCATGGTAATGTAAGGATTGTTAGCCTATCTAATTTGCAGTTTTAAAGCTTCATTATGTTTTACTCTGATTTTTAATCAGGTGGTCTGTAATGGATTTAAATGTTTTGTTTGTAGTTCAATGAAATGTTTACAGAAAGATAACTTTTTCATTAAAATATTTTTTAGAAATGTGTGTGTGGTTTTGTCACTTCACAGTGTTTGTGACTTAAATGTTTTGGGTATATTACAACTTTAGCATCAGGAAGCTTTGAAATATTTTTGAAAGATGTGGGTTCTATAAACTGGGAAATTGGTTAGAAGAAACAGTATTTTAAATTAAAAGTCCAGAGTTAACTGCTACTTAATACTTGTCTGACAGGATATTTAGGTTTTAAAAGACAACACATGAAACCATTGGGAGGTGGTACATGTAAGGAGTAAATAGGCAAGTAAATACATGAAACAAGCTGGGAAAGAAATGGGGCGTGTTAGAAATGTCTGGTTTCTTGCAAGGCAGTGAGTTAAACATTTTGTGGTTGAGGGTGAGTAGGGGAAAGAAGCTTACATGAAATTGGTCTTAATCTACCCTGCAATTTAACCCAAGTAAAAGTTAAAAGAGTGTTTAGTCACCTTAGTGACTGGTTTGATAATTTGTGATTTTTTAAAATTGTTTTTATACCGTTGTGTATGTGGATTTCTAGCTTAAACTACATTAAGTATATAAAGTGAAATTAAAAATTGAAGCCAGGTAAGGATTTTTAGTTACATGTTCAAAACGCTGGCTTTTTACCATAATACAGTGGTGTCATGTTCTGCACAATAAAGTGATCTTAAGGACTTAATGAACATTAAGTCCTAAAGTAATTTGGCAAGTGTGGACTTCATTTCCAACAAGATATATTTTCTCAGAATGGGAAACTTACAAATTGCCAAATACTCAAGAAGATAAAATTTGATTTCTCCCATGTACCCATCACAACTATATTTGAATTGGGTTTTCTAAAAATTAAGTGTTTTCTTTGGCAAAAATGGGATTCTGTTACACAATAGGTTGATTTAGCTTTGGATTGAATATATAATGCCAGATTTGGGGGCAAGTAACAAAACATGACATTTCTGTCACACTTAAGATGTCAACACCAGGTAATGTTGAGGGTAGATGTAATTGCATGTTCATGTAGTGTTTAAATAGTTTTGAAAGCTAAGAAATAGCAATTTGCCCATACTATTAACAGGGTTTAAAAGTAATGGAGTTCTGTCAAATATTAACTGGCTATATCTGGAGGATATAAGACATGAATAGAAATGTGCAAAAAATACCAAGTTTTGATGGATTGCATTTTTTAGTTAGTCTCAGCTGTTTTGTGCCCTTATTTAATAAGGAATGCAGTTCAGTTTTTGAACTTGTAAGTTTTGCTTATCCAACTTAAATACAGAATTTACAGCAATCTTGTGACTTTGGATAGGTTCTTTGGAAGTTATTTAGCTCATTTCTGGCTGTTTGGTAATGCTGAGACACCCCCTTAGAATGGTGATTTTATGTGCATGGATGTGTGGAATTAGGTACTGCAAACAAAATACTTTTTGTGGCAGTATAATACACTTTACATATTAAACAAGGTTTTGTGGGTCTGCCTTCTATTTTTGAAGTTCTGACAGTGATCTAGTTAGTATTGATTTAAGCTAATTACAAGCACTGTGAATGACTACCCTGTGGCTTGTTGCCAGGAACACTGAAGGGAATGCTGTTTCATTACATGTTAGAAAAAATAACTTTGCATCAAAATTTTAAGAAAATTCTAAATTCTATCCAAGTTAAGAACACTTGCTTTTATGTAAAATACAGATGACAATCCACCCTTAAATCTGAAGTTCTAAGTGTGAAAGGCTTAAAGAGTTCAACCTAGCGCCTAAGAAACTAGAAACTACTAAGATACTAGAAACTACTAAGTTTCTAGTATCATTTGGGTAATAGCAGTTGTCATAAGAATGTCCTGTAGTGTAGTAAGTAAAATTTTAATGGGAGACTATGTAGTTAACAAGGGGTTTTTCCTCCACACAGGGATTGAAGGGTGTTTTTTGTGATGCTGGGGGTTAAATTTGGGGTCTAGTTTGTGCTAGTTAGGGAAGCACTCTACCACTCGAGTTGCTGCCCTAGTCCATTTTGGAGATGGGGTCCCACAGACTTTGCCCACGCTGGCTTGAAACTCTGATCCTCCCGATCTGGGGCTTCCAAGTGGCTAAATTGCTGGTGCCCAGCTCTTACTGTTTTTTGGGTTTTTTTTTTCCCCCAGTACTGAGGTTTGAACTCAGGGCCTTGTGCCTGGTAGGCACGTGCTCAACCACTTGAGCCATACCTCCAGCCCCCTAACTGATAATTTTAAACACAGTCTACATAAAGCAGTGAGTTTAGTACTTGAAGTTAGGTTTTAGGTACTAGAAGGTTCTACAGTAAGTTGTTTTGTTTGAACTGTGGGCAAAGTCTTTTGAAATACAACAATGCAGATGAAGTCTGTTTCATGTGCCCCAGCATTGTTTGGCCGTCTTTTATTGGCCAATCCCACATGCCTCAAATGGAACTGTCCCTGCGATTATTGTCACCAACCCATGTACAGTTTTGTCTAAAAGACGCACACTGTGCTCAAGACTTGAGATTATATTCTGAGTTAGAAAAAGTGTCTTCTCCAGGAATCATTACCACCACCACTAGAGGAAATTCCTCCACAGCCTAAGGAAAGTATTTGGTACATAGAAAATAATCCGATATTAATCCTAGAATTGTTGGTCCTTAAAGTTTTCCAGTCATCCGAATGAAATTCTTGCTGAGCTAGTTTGATTTTTTCATGTGTTGCCCAAAATGTCAATACAAGGCTAAAATAGTTGACAGCGTTTACCGAGAGCTAGAATATAGCTCCACTCTGCAGATGAGGAAACAAGCCTGAGTGCTGAAGTGAGTTGCAGGTTATTCTAGGAATTGATGGGGAAGAGGCTAAGTCTGCTTCTTGCGTTTGTGGGCCTGGACACCATAAAGGTCTTGGGGGAATAGTTTACCATTAATGCATATGCTTAAACACCTTTTAAATGGCTCCTTTGGCTGACAAAGGGCAAAACAAATGACTTCCTTAGATGATGAAGAGTTGGAGCCAGGCTCTGGTGGCTCACATCGGTAATCAGCTACTCTACTCAGGAGGATCACGGTTTTGAAGCGGGGGGGGGGTAGACACGGGACAGACCCTATTTTGAAAAAACTCATTCCTAAAAAGGGCTGGCAGAGTGGCTCAAGATGTAGGCCCTGAATTCAAACCTCAGTACTGCAAAAAACAAACCAGCTGGAACTATGAATGGTTTGTTAGCACCCTCATTTTACTAGGTACGGTGTGTGACTGATACCACCCATAATTCCAGAGGCAGAAGCTGGCCTAGGCTACCTTCCCTCCTCAGCCCCCTCCCCCCCCCAAAAAAAAGTTGGAAGATGTACCTCAGTGGTAGACTGCTTGCCTAGTATGTGCAAAGACCCTGGGTTTGATCCCCAGTGGGGGAGGGGGCTTAGGAACATTTTCAAAGGATTTTGAGCCCATAATTTTGTATGCTTTACATGTCCATATGTGAACCAGTTTTCTCACCTACTCTTACCGAGTTATCCATTCCTGAGTAACATAATTCTTCAATCTACTAGAAAGTCTTTCTAGTGCAACTTTGAGATGCAGCATCCTGACCCTGTACACTCTTCTTTGGCCCTAGAGCAAGACTATCTTAACCTCACAAATTAGTCTCCCTGCTCCTACCCCTTGTCCTGTAAATTCCTAGCACATGAGCCACAGCAACCTGCTTTGGTAGTGTTGCTTAGCCTGGCTAATGGGTCCCCACTTCATAAAGTCCTTCTGAAGACTTAGAAGGCTTTGTGCTGTGCCTGCCCCCTCCTATACTTCCCTAGGTTTATTGTTTTTTTCTTGGTGGGTGGTGACAGGGGTTTGAACTCAAGGCTTTGTGCTTACAAAGCAGGTGCTTTACTGCTTGAGCCACACCTCCAGTCCATTTTGCTCTGATTATTTTGGAGATGGGGGTCTTTGGGCTGGCCTTGAATTTCGTGATCTTCCCAATCTCAGCCTCCCAAGGAGCTAGGATTATAGGCGCGACCCACTGCCACCTGGCTTTACTCTTACACCATCCCCTCCAGCTTTTTCTCAATCAGGCCATGCCTGTGGACTTGTGTGTCCAGTGTTGCAATGCTCTTTAGCCATGGATAGAATGGCTTGCTCTTCCTCACCTTTCAAATGTTGCAGCCTCAATGTGGCTTCATATTTACAACCCTATTTTAAGTTGCATACTTTCTACAGTTCTTCCCAATCCTTCTCTAACGTTTCCTGTATCTCTTCACTAGAATGTTAAGTCTAGGAGCATAAGAATACTGAGTTGTTCTTTGCGCTACAAATAATAACTAGTACATGGTTAGGCACACATTTGTTGATGTATTTTCATGTCAGTGTGTTACACATTTCCTTGCTTGAGACGTACCTGCTGTTGAAACTTATCTATACTTTCTCTGTAACAACACTAGTACCACATACTTGGTATAAGATGCTTTTAAAATTTTCAAAACCATTCTGAAAATATAAAATACACAAATGTGTTAAAATGGATGATTGTCCCACGGAAAATACTGTTGTGAAAAAATGCAAATGAATCACAAAAATCTTAATATTCCTTTATTAGTGCCAGCTCATTGTGTTTTGTTTTTTTTGCCAGAGCTAAACAATATAAAAAAATGCCATTTTTTTGTTCATATAGTATTTATAAAAAACTATAGTGGTTAGTTTTGCGACAATTTGCTTTTAGCCAGATGTCCTGTCATCTTATAAATCTGACTGTAACAAATGAGATAAAAACAGTATAAATAAGTTTTGTAGTATTTACACTTACACACCCAGATGGTGTCCTAAGAAATTAACTTCATAGTTAAAATGAAACTACTGATTCAACATACTGATATTTTAATGCTTTTTTAAAGTTTCATTTTATTTTCTACACTAGTTTTGCCTATAATTTTGCATAGAATTACTTGTAAAGAACATTTCTGCATTTCACATCACAGTAGGAGGTTGTAGAACAGTACAAAAAAACAAAACAAAAAGCCCACTAGCCCAGAAAAGGCCAAATCTCTCAAATCTACTTTTTCTTACTATCTGGCTTCTTACTTTTGGGAACAAGGAATACATTGCCATCTCTGGTTTGCTGCAGGGAGTATTCACTTGGAGAGTACGGTTTTCCATCTTCATCTCGTAGCATGCTGAAGACTTCAAGATACAAGGTGCTGAGTTGTTTCTTCAGTAAATGGAGGCTTTTGTCATTTTCTCCTTTTTCTTTGAGTAATTTTTCTTTTTCATCTTTTAAGTGACCTAAATCTTGCTCCAGTTCTACTATATTTTCCAGTTTTCTTTTTCTGCAATTCTGAGCAGCCACTTTATTCTTACCCCTCCTTCGTATATCTCGAATTAATGCAAGTTGAGCTTCATTAAATTGCTCCTTAGACATCATTTCATTGAAGTCGTCAACAGGGAGGTTAATGATTTGTTCAACAGGGAATGGGATATGGAGAGCTTTTGCCCTGAGCTCATCTCTTGTGAGATGAGCCTCCAAACGGCTTGAATGTTTATCTTTTGTGAATGGGGCTTTTCGATGACTAGGATTTATAGGCAGTTCTTTCTTTGGTGTGTTTTCACACTGGGCATCATGTACAGGAACACTGTACCTTTGAGTTGGTGACAGATGTTGCACTGTATCTCCAGAGGAAAGTACTGGCTGTGTTTTGGGACCATTCTGTTTGACACTTCCAGGGGCGCTATCTAACTCTTCCATTTCAGAGTCACTGAAACCAGGTGGTGGATCTCCATAGATGGAAGACTCCACTGAGTGTTCTGGGGATGGCATGCTGGGACTTGTGTTCAATGAAATGCCAGAATCAGAATCATTGGATTCTGCTGTGTTTTCAGGGTGCTTTGGGTTGAAAGCTTTGCATAGTGATAGATCAGAGCCATCAGCGGGCCCAGAAAGAAGTTCAGAGAGTGACTGGCTTATAGTAGCAGAGGAGGGCATGCTGTTGCTGATACTGGGTTCTGCTATGAAAGCGGAATAAAATTCATCACCAAAACCTGTGTTTAATGTGGCATTTGAATTTAATGAGTTCACTGTCAACTGATTGGGATCTTCTGTGGAGAGGATGCTGCTGAAAGAATCCTCAAAAGCATGAAGAAAATGTGGACTGCAGTTCCCCACTTCTTTTTCCAGGGAGGGGATGGATGAGTAGAAATGGTAATTATTGCCAATTTCTGTCAGTTTGGTTTCTGGGCTTGGAACTGTGGGAGCAGTCTCAACCAGCTTGTCATTTTCAATATTAAGACACTGTAGAAAAGAAGTTTATACTAATCAATCAAGGTCAAATTATTTTTAATAGCTGATAATCCATATATCTTGGTAAATTTGTCTCCAAAGTGTTCTATAATCCAGAAATAATTTTCATTTTCAGTAGATGGGTAAACTTAAGCATACATACTATTTTCAGAGTTCCTAGATCATGGACTTCAAGTTTAGAATGGATCCGTCCATCTAACAAAAGTGCATGTCAAGTGAGCCTGGGCAGCTCTCATGACTAATTTAAAAGCACCTTCAATCCTTCTTGTAAGTGGCATATAAATAAGTAATCACAATGACTAATTTAAAGACACTGAATATTAAATAGCATCTTCAGTACTGAATTAGACCTTAATTACCTGTAATTCTGGAATAGAAAGTAGCTCCTCCCAAACTTGCTCAATGTCCTGCTGCATGTTGTTTAAATCGGCCATGGCTCCCTCAAGAGAAGTTTCAAGTGACTGAGCCTGATTAGGAGCAGTAAAGACTGGGCTTTCCATGTGGCTGGGAATATCTGGAACAAGTGACTGAAACGTAGCTGAAGAAACCTAAAATTGTCAAGGCATCATCTACATGAGTAAGCTCAAAGGCGCTATTATAACACATTAAAGTAGAATTGGCTGCACTTCTTTATTTTTTTCTTACTCAACACTTATGACCCCCTATTTCTACATAATGAAATATTTTTTCCCCTACCCAACTGACTCCAGATTTACAATTTATTGGCTTTTTTTATCCCATGTGTTTGAAGTTAAACTTCAGCCTGGTGCCAGTGGCTCATGCCTATAATCCTAGCTACTCTAGAGGCAGAGATCAGAAGGAACACAGTTTGAAGCCAGCCCCAGGCAAATAGTTCATAAGGCCCTATCTTGAAAATACCTAATACAAAACAGGGTTGGTGGAGTGGCTGAAGTTGTAGAGCACCTGCCTGGTAACCATGAGGCCCTGAGTTCAAACTCCAATACTGCCACAAAAAAAAAAAAAAAAAAAAACTTAAACTTGAAAATGGGTCAGAACAATCTTTAGTTCTTAATTTATATGTATAAAATTAAATATTGTTTGAAGTACTATACATTGTATTTAGATGTAAATTAAGTATAGTACTTCAAACAATAGATTTGAATTGTTGACTGATGTCTTTATTAATCAGCTTTTTCTTTACCAAAAATTTGTATATACCTATAACAAATGAGTTTCTTGGTATGGTTATACAGATCCATGTTTTTGGCCATAAAGGAGGAAAGGTTTGTAGTTGTGTATTATGTAAGGGTCATTTTTGTGTGTGTATGGATGGCATTTGAGCTCTGCTTACATGCTTGCTAGACAGGAGCTCTACCACTTGAGCCACTCTGCCAGCCCAAAGGTCTTTTGGTTTTTGTTTTTTGGGGTTTGTTTGTTTGTTTGTTTGTTTTTGGAGCACTGGGGTTTGAACTCAGGGCCTCACATTTTTTGGTTGTTTTTAAATAAACATTATATAGATAGATCTATCTTCCTACTAAGGTTTCCTTGATAAAAATTTTACTTTTAAATTTTTCTTTTATTCATTCTTTTAAATGGAGACTGTTTAGAGAGACTAATATAGGATATGTTCAGTGCATCTATGGAGTTTGCTGTTAACCAAATTATTTTATACCTCATCATCATCTACAAATGGGAATGTCTCTGCCAAAAGCTGCATGCAGTCATCGAAGTACAAAGCATCTGGTTTGGGAATGTGGGCAACCTGGATTAAAAGGGAAAGGCATAAAGAAGAAAAATTGTTAACACTTTAATTGGCCATGCTAGAGATTTATGATTGGCTTAAGATTGATGGTTAATGTTAGTGTTTACAATGTAGTTAATTATTTTAGAAATCAGTTTGATGCACAGACTCAAACCAGACTACTTTGGTTCAAATCTTAGTTCCTCTACTTTCTTTCTCTTTTTTATACTGCTGGGGATCAAACCCAGGGCTTCATGCATGTTAGGCAAGAGCCCTACCACTGAGCCCCAATTTTTTTGAGTGGTCTGAGCAAATTAACATTTTGAGCTGTAGTAGTTCAGTTACACTGAGTAAATCAGTGTTATAATTAGGACCATGCCTGCCACAATAACATAAACAATGCCTACTACTAGTTTTACTACTGCCAGTACTTCTGTTGCTGTTTGATCCTAAAAGGGTATTTCTGTAATTTATAAAATTCCTTATGTGATTAGTGTCCTCCTAATCCTTAAAATAACTCTGTAAGTAGTTTTAAGTATTGAACTCATCAGGAGGCTGAGGTTGGGAACTTGACAAGTTAACTTTATAAGGTCACAAAGACATAGTAAAAGGCAGAGCTGGAACTCAAATGCAGACATCCTATTTTCTCAATGTTTCCTTAGAACCCTGATGTACATTTTTCCAAGAACTAAGGTACTCTGTACCTGGGAGTAGTTGGTAGATCCACTGGTTTCTGACTGGGTGTGCTGGGCTGGCTGAATTGGAAGGAATTCACCTGTCTCTTCATCTAGTTGTAACTGAGCGAAAAACGCTTTCTCTTGCTCCTTTTTGATTTGTTCTTGTCTTTCTTTTTCAAGTTTTTTCTGTTTTTCCAGCTCATACTCCTTCTGTCGCTGACTGAAGTCAAATACTTCTCGACTTACCCCAAGATCTATGTCTTGCTTCCAAAGTATGTCAATTAAATCCATGTCCTATGTTTAAAAACATAAAGGAGAGATCATGGTTAAGATGGGCCATGTAGATTAATTCCCATTGTTATTGTGAACACTGGTGGGAGATTATAAACAAAACCTGAGTAAGAACATAGATCCATTGTTCTAAAAGAGCACAGTTAATTCCATTCACTAAAAGCAACCATCTACACTGTCATCCATTCTAATCACAATTTGGATCAATAATGATTGGGTAGTGGTAGAGACAGGCAGAGTTACAAATGTTTCACATTGTGTCTGAACTAAAAGAAATCTCCTAGAGTATAAACATTATAGCAAGCACTCCAAGCTGCTGGCTTATCAGAAATGGGACTTGAAAAACATGACTAAGGCTGGGCCTGGTGGCTCACACCTATAATCCTAGCTACTCTGGAGGCAAGAGTTTGAGAGGATCACAGTCCTAGGCCTGCCCAAGAAAAAATTCATGAGATTCCCCTCCCTCCCCATAAGCATGGTAGCACACACCCATCATCCCAGCTACATGGTCAGCATAAATAGGAGGATCATGGTTGGACCCAGGTATAATGAGAGACCTTATCTCAAAAATAAAGCAGAAAGGGCTGGGGGTGTAGCTCAGGTGGTAGCACACCTACCTATAAGCTCAAGGCCCTAAGTTCAAATGCCAATATTGCTCCCCCAAAGAATGAAAAGCATGACTGAATACATGGGAATTTCTGTACCTTGCTCAGCAAATACCGTTTATAGAGTGAAACCTCCAAGTTAAACTGTCAGTCTAGCAGGTATGAGATAACACCATTGTTTTGATTTTTCTTATACTGGATTATCCTCATCATTTCCTCCACTCTTGTCTCTGTGGCTCACCTATTAAATAATACCTTTTGCCAGGTGCTTGTGGCTCACACCTGTAATCCTAGCTACCAACAACAAATTCCTTTGACTTGAGCTTTAATTCCTGAGGCATGAACAAGTTGGTAATGGAAGGTTGCTTGTTGCTGAATTCATTTTTTTTTTTTCCTGGTGGTTCTGGGGACTCAACTGGGCCTTGATCATGCTATAAGCAAGCTACACTTATATCACTCAAACTATATTTCTCTAGCCCCTAAATAACTTTTTTTGTTTTGTGGGACTGGGGTTTGAACTCAGGCAGGGCTTCACACTTGAAAGCAGGCACTTTACTTCCAGCCCATCTTGCTCTTATTGTTTTGGAGATGGGTCTCAAGAAGTATTTGCCCAGCTGGCCTCAAACTTTAATTATCCTGACGTTGGCTTCCAAATAGCTAGGATTAAGCTGGTGGTGTGGCTCAAGCAGTAAGAGCGCCTATCTAGTAAGCACAAGGCCTTGAGTTCAAACCCCAGTGCTGCCAAGAAAAAAAAGTAGCTAGGGTTACAAGTGTGAGCCACAGGCCCCCCAGCCCTAAATAACTTTTTAAGATACTGGAAGGATCTTACAAAGAGGGAATGGTTATTTTGATTTAGTAAGAACGTGGAAAGAGATTTTTATTCTAAAAATGTGTCAAAGGTAGTCTTCTGATTTGTAACTAGTTTTTGGAACAATCACAGGTAGAAAAATGTAGACCAGTTTCCATTTAACAAATCATCTATATTGAAAATAATGAAATAGAGATATGAAAAATCAAGATAAGGGGGAATGGGAGTTGGGACCTGAAGGCTAGTGGATATAGTATGTAAAAACGTCAAACTTAGTACTTCAGTTCTATTGAGGGTCGACAACACCAGATTGCCTGACTAGTAGAGGTCTAGATCTCTGCTCTTCTCAGCCTGCTAGGGGCAAAAATAACATGGCTGCTCCTTTAGTTAGCAGTCAAGCTATTTTTACTCAACAAAGGAGGAACAGGCCCCCTCAAGTGGAGGCAACACAGCTAGCTGGATAGAAGGTTTGTGTTGGAATCTTAAGTGGTATGGAACTGTGCTGATGGAAGTCATCATTATTCTAGCCTTAGATAATATATAGTGTAAAGCCCAGAGTTAAAAGGGTTTCCTATATGCCAGGCACTGTTCAGAATACAAGCTAATCCTCAAGATAGCCATAGAATTACCCTTATTTTATAGATAAAGAATACTTAAGTTTAGACTATTACAGGTAGCTGAACTCACTGGGGCGGGGGGAGGATCCTGCTTTTTAACTAGACTACACTAAAAAAAAAAAAAATGCAAAAACTAATCATTGGTCAGTGTTTCCTAAACTGGGTAGGATATAAAATCTACTGTAGTATATATACTTTCCCTTGCTGCCTTGGTGAAATGGCAAGTTTACTGAATATTGCATTAAGCACATCACCTGGATTAGTTTCCTGAACAAATGCAACAAAACACCAGAAATGGAGCATTCATTCATTCATATATGGCTATCTTCTTAGTGGGCTCCCCACTCAAATCAACATGAGAATAATTTCCATTTTAGTTTTTTTTTTTCAGTGCTGGGATTTGAACTCAGGGCCACACACTTGCTAGGCAGGTGCTCTACCACGTAAGCCACTCCAGCAGCCCTTTTAATGGTCTCACTTTACGCCCAGGCCAGACTACAGAACAATCCTCCCATTTGTGCTTCCCTGCGTAGCCACCTCATCCAGCCATTGGCTGAAATGGGGGGTCTCATGAAGTTTTTGCCTGGGCTGGCCTGGAACTGTGATCTCATAATCTCTGCCTCCAGAGTAGCTAGTATTATAGGCTTGAGCCACCATACTTAGCTCTGTTTTTAAAAAATGGTATTTCCATTTTCATAGATATGTTTACCCAAGGTCATGTGAAAGCATGCAATGTACAAGGTACGGAGAAACCCACTTTAAAGTTCTGATTAGGTCATTTCTCAGTGAATCTAGATAAAGCACAGTGTCCTATTTAGACTTTTCTTCAAACTGGAGCTAACTGACCAAGGTATAAAACAGTGATCAATATATTAACATCTAAATGCTAGCACAAAGAATTCAGGAATTCATGGTCATTTGATCTTTACTGAAGTCTAGTTTTTCTCTATAAAATATGCAGAACCTGATATGCAAAGTGTGTTGGACTCTTTCAGAATCAATATAAGAAATCCAAATACTTGTCCTTGAACTTAAGGACCACTTCCACAGTTTCCTCAGACTGCCCAGGCTTCACCTTGTTAAGAGATCCCAGAATAAAAATCATAATCTAGTTGTGACTTTTCTGTACCAGAATTGAAGGAATTTGTGTTGTGTATACCTGCTTGCAGGTCTGACTTCCAAAGCATCCCAAGTCCAGTCCCCATGGGCTGGAGGAAAACTTCTAATGGAATTTACTCTACAATCATCAGTGGTATTAACACCAAGAGTAGATTTAACTGTATTATTTCTTTTTTCCTCCTTTCCACCGGGTAATGCCTGAGAGCTTCAGATGGATATATTTTGTATAACTATTTCACCTACACTACCATAGAAATCAAATGAGTCATGTGAAAGAGCTCTCTCCATAAATGTAAAATATTTGTATGTTGTCATACATGCTAACAATGATGGGCCTTTTGAGAGCAAGCTCAAGACCAAACTCCAGGTCAATTGTTAATAATGAAGCTGTAGTAGCAGGCCTAAAAAAATACTGGGGCTATCTAGATAATCAGAAAGGATGAACTATAACTTTTCCCCAAACTGAAGCAATGAAGCTGCTTGGTCCTTCCATAGGGCAAGTCTGAAAATGACTAAGTGTTTGCAACATGTGTTGTAAATTTTAAGAAATAGTCTTAGTAAGAAGGAAAGAAAATTAGAGGACATAATTTTGGTGAATTATAATGGTGGTGGTTTTGTTGTTACTGTTGTAGCTAGGGTATTGAGAGCAGTGTATGTACCTCCATATATTTTTACATACACTATTCTGTACCCATATATGCCTATTTGATTACCACTAAATTCTTGCTGTGACTACAAATCACTATGCACACTACAAAACAATTCAGTATGCTTTTATTTTTAATTTTCCATAACATGATCAGAAAAGGACACCTTGATGTGGATACTAATCAACAAACAAGAAAAATGAAGCAGGAAACATCATTTGGATCCATTTCAGAGAATCCAGTTCTGATCTGAAACAATACTGGACCCTGGGAGACTAAGCCATTCACACATCCTAGCTCTTGTCTCCATCAGGAAGGACTAAAAGTTGTTTCAAGTGATAACATCTAACTGTCTTTAATCAGGCTGGGGAGCATTCAGTGGGACCAGAATGGCATTACACAGTTCAAAGTGTTTGGAGAGGTTTTCCTCTGTTCTTTTAGGTTTACTCTATGAGGTCTCTAAAAGAAAACTGCTTAAGCCAGGTTCTAGTGGCTCACGCCTGTAATCCTAGCTACTCAGGAGGCAGAGGTCAGAACAGCAGTTTGGCATCAGCCTGGGCAATAGCTCATGAGACCCTATCAAAAAAAAAAAAAAAACACAAAAAAGGGCTAGTGGAGTGGCTTAAGCAGTTTAGAGCACCTGGCTAGCAAGCATGAGGTTCCAAGTTCGAATTCCAGTGCCACCAAAAAAAAAAGTGCTTTAAGAAAAATTGAATTTTAAGCAATGACTTTGGATTTCTAAAATCAGACAACTGGATGAAGTTTAAAATTCAGTAACAATGGATTTCTTGCATGGCTAATGTGTCATAATGTGTTGCTCAGATTTTCATACAGGTTTCAGAAGAAAAATGTCTGCAGAGATTTATATTGTATGAAACATTCAAAGCCTTTCAACATTTTTCAAAATGTTGAAAAATAATGTTTGTTAACCCAAGGTGCTGCTGGAGAAGCCCATAGGCTCAGTGCTGTATTCTATACTGGCCAAACAGGCTGCACGCATTTCCTGTAAGGAGCCCTGTGACTGGGCACATGACTCACACCACAAAGGACCCATCTCTCTGCTAAGCTTGAACATCATCTAAAAGGAAATAACAGTTGGGGTGGAGTACATAACAAGCAAGAACATGACATCAAACAGCAGGGAAGGGAAGTGCCTAAGGAAGAACTAAAATTGCTCTTCTATACAGAAATTCAAGGCTTTTAAGAA